ATTAATTGGATTCCACGACTAAAATACATTAATGGAACGAAGTGATGCCTTAGAAGATAAATTGCAATTAATTGGGCATAGGCCAATTGTAATAGGAATGAAATTCATCCATTGGACTCGTGTTGAGACTAAACTAATTTGGTGGTAGGGAGGAAAATATATATAGCGGATAGCGGATGAAAGGCAGGAGCTAGAGAGAAAAAAATTCCAATTCTTTGAACATAAATTCATCAATAATTGTGTGAAGAGTTTGGGAATTAATTACATTTCACCAATTTCTAGGTGATGTCATTTAACTTTATTTGTTTAATTCAGACATTATGCTAGACTAGGTTAAGTTAGTGCTAGAATTACGATGAAACTTATACATGAACCTTTAATATTTGAATTTTATTTATTTTTTATATTTAAGCACATTTTCAATTCTTGAATGATTGACATTGATTTAATTTTCTCTACGATACATGTGTAATAGTTGTATGAGTTTGTAGCTTATTTTATCTTCGAAAGATTGAAAATAACTTAGAAATAGTGTCAATTGTCGTAGAGTCCAATAGGGGACAGAAATATACTACTATACTTTACGTGATCTTTAATACATTATTATATGTTTACATTCATCATAGAAATGTAGTCAAGTCACATGTAAGAATATATTTAATTCTACTCGATGGAGATTGTTAAACAAATTAGGAATATTGATTTTCATAATTGAATCGTGTTGTCAAATTTATAAGTTCTAAGGTTAAAGGGAATTGATATAAGGAAATTCGGGATCCTAGTATGCTTTTCATCATTATATTTTTATAAAACTTGTATTTAATTATAATCTTACATTTATTTTATTAAGTTAAGTTTTGCTTTCATAAGTAGATTATTTAATTTATAGAAAAAATCACAACTTTCAATTGTTTCGGTTAAGGTTAAGGTTAAGTTAATTCGAATTTGAACAAGTACAATATCTATGGGAACGATATTTGGACTCAAAATCTATTTTACTACTTGTTAATGAACCCTGCATTTGAGGTATTTTAAATCAAAAAGATTTCATGATATTTCTCTAGCTATACAAGTTAATACCAAATAAATACATCATCGTACTGAATTTTGATGGGAATTGATTGCACTGCTCTTGATCGGAGTGAACTCAAATACTTTCAACACTTTTTGACGTGTTTTTTGAACTGTCACATTTTTTTGGCATAATGACTTGATATGAACTATTAGATATCATTTGTAATTACAATTACCACTGGAAGTAAAAGCAAAAGAAGACACCTGCAAGCTTAACCACGTCATGTCCTCTTGTTGCATCATCATACTCTAAATAAATGGGCAGTCTTGGCATCCCATCACAAACAAAAACATATTGTTTGGACCAAATATTCTCCATATATACAAGCTCCCATAAGATACACATCAATGTCTCTCAGCAATCTCTTAAAGACACACAAAACATCAAGGTAACATGTCCTATGAGTGTAAAAGATCCAATCTATTCGCCCAAGAGATAATCCACTCTTGCATATCCTCAAACATCTTTTTGTGCTTATGATGTAGCCATTATTTGCATACCAATACAATTTTGTTAAAACGTCAAATTATTACCTGGCATCACGTTAAACAGTCCTTTAGCCTCCACCATATTCCCAAAGTATGTGTATGTCGAAACCATTCCCTAAAAAAAGCCTTAATTACAAGTTTTCAGTAGAATAGCTTCCTTTAAGTTGATATAATCTCCTTCACAAGCACGTCATCTTCTTTTGCAATCCCTACCCGTTTCCTCCTTTTTTCCAACTCTCTTTGTTCTTCTCATCTCCCTGTGTCCCAGTCTCCATATCTCCCATTTGCATTTTCCCCTCTCCTCTCTTGAATCCTCCCTATTTTCCTCTATTGCTTCCTCCCAGTTGCATTGCTCTCTTGCCCACCTTCCCCTCCCATGTCTCTAGTAGCTAGAAGGAAGCACCAACAGAAGGCCATGGTGTAAGATAATAGACCTTAAATGAAGATTAAGGACGTTGATCCTTTTGGATTGAATCAGAAATTCATTTCATATCTAACACCAATACAGAAGGCTAAAATATATAGAATTTACAAAGGGGGAAAAAGAGGCAAAAGAGTAAAGATTCTTCGTAACAAACTATGCAACAAAAGGAATATTATTCTACCTAACCATGTGCATCATACATGAGCTGGTGGACACTTGGCTTTATAAGTCTAGTGCCTTATAATCTATGTGCATATCTAGCTGATAACCAAACTGGATGAATTGATAAGAATGCTTCATTATCTATTTTAACAGCCCCCCTCAAGATGGAGAATAGATGTTTTCTATTCCCATATTGGATAGATAAGTCTTCAAAGTTGTGATTGAGTGTGAACATAAGATGTGGAGATGTGTCCATTTGATCTCTAATTAAGTGGCAATCCAATTCGATGTGTTTAGTCCTCTCATAGAACACCGGATTGGAAGCAATGTGTAATGCTGCTTGGTTGTCACAATATAAGACGACTGGTTGAGGATGATTAACTTGGAGATCCTATAGAATGTATTTTAGCCATGTAATTTCACAACAAATATTGGCCATTGACCTGTATTCTGATTCAGCAGATGATCTAGACACCACACTTTGCTTCTTTGACTTCCAAGAGATTAATGACTCTTCAAGGAAAATACAATATCCAGTAACTGATCTTCGTGAATCAGGGCAAGCTGCTCAATCAGAGTCACAGAATGCTCGAAGAGTTAACGGGGATGAAGATGGGAACATGAGTCCTTGTCCTGGAGCCAGCTTAAGGTATCTGATTACCTTGTGAGCTACTGCTAGATGTTTGAATGAGGGAGTTCCAATGTATTGATTGAGGTTCTGAATTGCATAACATATATCAGGTTTGGTTAATGACAAGTACATCATCTTTCGAGTGTATGCTCCTCCAATCAATCAATTCCAAGAGAAAAACATTCATCTCTTGCATCGTCCCGAACAACCTTTTGCACCCCTCAAAATTCTCATTATTTGCATAGTCATGAACATAGTATTCCAAGATATCAAATATTTACTTGGCATCACATTGAAAAGCCTCTTAGTCTTCATCATATCACCATACTCTATATACGCTGATACCATTCTATTCCACATAACCATATCTTCTCTGGAGTCAAATAAAAAAGCCTCTTAGGCAAAAACAAAGCATCATTTGCCACATACCATTGTGTCATTGTAGTCCAAGGAACAACATTCCTCAAAACCATCTCAGTAAACACCCTAAAAGTGCACTCCACACATTCTTTACTCAAATACAACTCAACAAAAGTGGTACCCGTGTAAGTATTAGAAATGAACCCACTTTTAATTGCGACAAAATGCATTTCATTACATTTTCTCAAAGCCAAAACCTTGCCACAAACCTTTAGGACCATGAAACGTGTAACAAATACTATTCACATTTCTCCCTCATCATCTTACAAAATAACATAACAACCTCAATGTACAGAGTATTTTGTAGATACCCTTTTGACATTGCATTCCAAAGTGACGTGATTCTTTGGTTTGGAATTTGATCGAACACTTTTAAGTCGGAAATTATTTGCTTCGACTGAGAGGATTTTGAGAGGAAATAAGATGTCATGAGGTGGTTCTAATGATCAAGGGCATTAGTTATGATTTGAGTTTGAAGGTCTAGCATAATTGTGATTCAAAGCTATTAAATGAACATTCATTTTGTACATTAAATTTGACATTCATGATATGTTAAAATCATAGACATTGACAAATCAATGCTTATGATTTTAACACATAAAGGAATATCAAATTAGTTGTAGAAATTTTTCTATCATTACCTATTGAAGTTGGTAATTGTGAAGTGATGTTAAACTAGAAAAGTGAATTTTAATTTCTACACATAAATAAAATATGCACTTTGCCTCTACTATTCACAAGCCGAGCTGAGCCAAACGGCTTTATGGCCCGACTTGGCTAATTTTTTTTTATTAATTTTGTTTACAACCAAGCCAAATGGCTCGGCTCTGCGAACTTTTTTATTTATTTTTTATTTTTACGTTTGATTCAGTATTTTAAGTTACAGATATTCGTTTTAAGCGATTTAAAATTTGTTAGAAACGTTGAAGTGCGGTCATGATAAATATATGATCAATAAATTTTAAATATCAAAATAATTTTACATTAATTGTGAAGTGATTGTTTATGTTTCTTTTCAATCACAACCTCATTCCAATGTCTTTTTTTCAAACTTTATTTTCCTACAATTTTTCGTTTGATTCGATATTTCACGATATGAATATTCATTTGGATCGATTTCAAAAATTTTAAAAAAACTTAAAATGTGGTAATAATAAATATATTGTCGATTATTAAAATATAAAAATGACTTTATGGCTCGGCTCGGCTCGGCTAAGCCTTTTTTTTATTTTTTTTATTTTAACGTTTGATTAGTTTTTTTCAATTTTTTTGAGTTTATTAATTATTTATTTTGAGTTTTTTTCCCTATTCTTTTGTTTAAAAATTGATTAGAGGTTTACGAAGTAATTGGCAATGACTGTTCTATCGGAGATTCGTAAGAAGACATTTTTCGATAACTGGAGGCTGTGGTGGAAGGTGAACCTAGATTTCTTCGATAACTATGGGTGTGATTTTTTTCATCTCCACATTTAATTTAGTCTCGAAACATTTAGCAACTTATAAGAAAATATTTATGTAATCATAAATATTTTTTTAATATTTACGCTATTATATAGTCAACTACATCATGACACGTGCTGTGCACGTGCTTGTCACTGGTCTTATTAAAAAATTTAGAGGTGTTTGTCATTTAAAGGGTAGAATTATACATTCATATAACTATTGTGGGCCCATTGAAGTACTGTAATATTCTGGTCATCTGAATCCTAGTTTCAATCTTCCCTTTAATCGTTCTACTAATAAGCATATACATACAGATTATTTACAGCAATTGTGTACAATTTTGTTAAAATTCATCAGATGTCTCTGCTGAATCAACTCTTCAACAGGGGACTCGTCGGAGCAAAAGGGTCAGTCCAATTAATCACCATTTTTATTTTTATTTTTAATTTTTTGAAGTTTGTATATTGATGATAATTCGAAAAGGAAAAATTGGAAATCTGGAGATTTTGTTTGGGGAAGAAAACACTTTACTTTGTATTAAGTCAACTCTCATCGTGTATCGATCAATCGATGAAATTGTTGTGCTAAGTTTGCTTCTCCTTTTTTTCTTCTTCTACAATTTCTTTTTCTTTTTTTTCTGGGTTTCTTCATTAATGCTAGAATTCATACCTTTTAAGCTGAAAATATGTAAATGGATATTAATCGTTTATTGAAATTTGCCGAATCTTAAAAGATTAAGATTTTTAGTGTCTGGTTATCATGATAAGAAACTTTCAGATCGCGACGAATTTCGGTCAATTTTTACTACCATTTGAATCGATGAATTGTGAGTTATGTGAACGTAGGCATAGTTCAAAATTTACATGGACCTTAATTGCACAAAAAAACAGAGCAACCTGTGTTTATTACATCTCTGATCAAAGAAATTTTCCTCGCCAACATTTTTTCCCCTTTAAATTTTGTTTCTAATTTGTGCTGCATTTTTCAAATCAATGGTAGTACTTAGGAATTTCTATTTATGTTTGGTGTTAGTACTGATTTCAATAGGTGATTTTGTAGTAAAACATGCTTGACCTTGGCAATCTCACGCATCAAGTTGTTACAAAACAAGAGAGACGTGCAACTTAAGCTTATGAGAAAGGAGATAGCCCAATTTTTGCAGGCTGGACAAGAAGCAATTGCTAGAATTAGAGTACAAGATCAAACTTGCTTTTACTCAAGCACTTGTTATGTACTGTAGTCATAATTGTTCTCCTTTTGATTTGTAGTTCATGCCTTTGATTTAGGTAGAGCATGTGATACGGGAACAAAATATATGGGCTGCTTATGAGATTTTGGAGATGTTTTGTGAATTTGTTCTTGCCCGTGTTCCTATTCTTGAAAGCCAAAGGTAAAGTTCTTGATCAGTGCCCTTGTATTTAACATTGTAAGACTATACCTAACATGTTATTCTTGACTGCGGTTGAGATTATTAATAAAATGGAAGCATATGTTGTACTTAATATTCAAACATCTTATGCACTAGTCTATTATATGTTTATTAAAATACTTGTAATTATTCTATGGATTATCTTTTCTTTTACTGTTTATGTTTCCTTCAGAGCAAATGATTTCTCTTTTAGTTAAGAGATGTTATCAAATGATCCCACTTGTCAAAATTCTTTGGCTCAGCTGCTGGATTAAATCAGCATAGACCAGGATGGTCCAGTTATCGCATACTCTGTCTTTTATTTCGTTCGCACCTCCTTTCACCTTTTCTTTGTCTCTCTATTTCTTCCCCGTATATTGTTAATCTTTCTTTTCATTTCCCATAACTCCTAGTTAATTGAAGAAGTACCGAATAATTGTTGTAGGAATTAGGATATGATTTCATGGTGGGGTCTGATATCGATGACATGGCTAATGATTTAGGTAATGGGTGAGGGGATGATTTGTCTAGGAAAGATGACGACTTTAGCAAGTTCTTGGAGCTGTTTTCTGTGCTGATCAGTAGTATTAGACTGATACTGTTTTAGAAGAAGAACAACAAAAGAGAAGTAAATATGGGAAGAATAGAATGCTTTACCCAAGAGATCAAGGAAATCCACACAGAGTTCCAAATCTCAATTTCAATATACGCTACATAAATAAGTTGATTGCATGAGTATTTATAGACTTTGTAGATTTCTCATACTAGAATAGAGAATATTATCAAAAGTAGGAAATTACTGACAAACTCATGAAAGACCAATCCTGGTTACTTGAGGCTCTAATTATAGCTCAAGCAACAATAAAGTCCTCAACTAATGTCGATGATTAAAAATGCTGATAAACTGAAAGTTACCGAAGTGCCATTGACTCTTAAACTTTATGTAAGCAACAATACTTAATGGACTTTAAAATCAGCAGTTGATTTTTTGGATGCAAGATGGGATGCTCTTATTCTGATAATGCAAAAATTCTAATAAATCAAGTGAAAATGGTCTTCATCAGTAGTGAACTGACATTCTTAACAGATTGATTTTGGCATGAATACAAGCATGCACCTCGTGCAGATAATCTTTTTGGTAAACAGTGCTAGAAATGGTGACTGATTATTTCATATAGGTGTGGGAGATTCAGAAAGTGTTGACTCTGTCATGTGGTGATAGCTTGGATGAATTCTTGTCTGTTTACTTGTCTCGATTGATATCGATAGAAAGAGATAAAATACATTTTTCTTATTCTCGTATTCAGGGTTGGTTAGTTGACTGGATTATATAAAATTGATGACTAGTATTTTGGACACTAATGATAACGGCCCAGTTTTCAACCTTAATGGTTTCTAAATGGAAAGAAAGTGAGTGTTGGATCGTTGGTCCAAGGTATGGGTCTGAGCCCTTTTTGGGTTGCTGTTAGGGTCAATTAGCATGATTTACATTGTAAGATTGAGTTCAGGGGTTGACGTTTGCGAGATGGGGGGTTCTAGATATCCATGTTGGCCTATCCTATGGTGAGAATTCACTGTTGATTTCACCCGTGAACATAGGGTGCTATGCTGACCTGAACAGTGTAAAATGCACATACAATTGTCCCTTGTTTTTTTAAACATTCCTTTGATTTCATGATTATTACACTCTATTGTAACTGGAGAACTTGTTTAGTGTTAATTGTAGCTGCTTTCTAATAATGTTTTAATTGGATAACATTTAGACATTTTTCTCCATGGACATAGTATCGAAAGTGAAAAAATGAAGGATCCCTTACACCCTTAAGTATGGGTTTCATATAATATTATATAACTGAATCTTGTTTCTGATGTTCTTTACAATATTCTGAAATTTTTCTTCTCATTGAAGTTTGAAGATGCTCATGACATTATATGTGTCTTTTTCCCTTTCGGTTAACAGTTACTAAATTTCTTTTGCAAATTCATTTTCTTTAACACATATAATAAAAATCTTCATGCATGTTACTCCTAAACATTATCTTTCTAGAATCCCTGATCCAGGGGCGGACTCAAGATTTTTTTCCAGTGAAGGTGATATTAGTAAATTTTTCCACGTCATCGAGAGATTTTCTTTTATAAAATCTTTCCATGACTGTTTTCACTATAAAATAAACAAGTGTTAATTTAAGACGTGCCGTATTATGATTTCACAAATTCACCAACAATCAGGGGTGAACAAAAACTCAGTAACTAACATCTAAATCGAACTACAACTACAACATAATTAAAGTTATGAACTCCAAAGAGGTAAAGCTTCTTTCTGTGAATTTAGCATACAAGTTAATAACTCACATAATATCATAAATACTGCAACACTCAGTTAAAATCTGCAATATGTGTCAACAATTGAACTTTCTAGAAATTATTTGCATTTTCGAAAAAAAAATTACATATTCAGAATTGGAATATAATATATCACAAAGAAACAAAACTCTGAACCACACCATCACATCCCTTTATAGTTTATCTCACAAAACAATCCAACATATTCATATCATATAGATGAAATTATAAAAATTATCCGGTTATTACGTGCTTCAATTGAAACCCATGGCTTCACCGTTTCGATTTCATGAATTTGAGTGTTTTGGTGGAAATTGGGGGTTTCAAGTTTGGGTGGGGTAAGTGGTATTTGGTAATTGGTAACTAGGTTTGTAGTTGCCAGTCGGGAACGGGAACCATCCACGGGAATGGTTTGTGGATGAACATCGGATTCATCCACATTTCTTACAAGATTGGGCCACTTATTTGGCCCATTCCATTTATTTTTTTTAAAGCTTAAGTGGACTGAGGGCTTATATCCTTAAATGGGGTGGCCCAAAGATGCATGCACTGGGCCTTCATTGGGTCAGCCCCTGCCCTGATCAACAGTTCTCTTTTTCACTTCTTTCTATCCTTGATTGATGAAATATTTCCAGCATATATTTTATTAAGGTTTGTATCTTAAATTAGAGCAGTTATCAGTTTGTTCAAATTATGATGTAGCCAGTAGTTTTGGTTAAAAGTGTGAAGCTGGCAAGTTCTAGTTTCCATTTTTTTTTTCTTGTGTCACTAAATGTCATTCCATTTCTTAATGAAACAGGGAATGTCCTGCAGAGTTGCAGGAAGCAGTTGCAAGCATAATCTTTGCAGCCCCCAGATGTTCAGATTTGCCAGATCTATTACATGTCAGAAATTTGTTTGCCGCAAAATATGGAAAAGAATTCATATCGGCTGCATCTGAACTTCGCCCTGATACTAGTGTCAATCGTACAGTTAATTGACTGCAGCTAATGCTTTTAATGTATTGATTCTGTTTCTCCATTCTAAATTGGATATATCTACTTGATATTTCAGATAATTGAGAAACTATCAGTCAGTGCTCCATCCCCTGAAGTAAAGCTCAATACGCTGAATGAAATTGCAGCGGAATTTAATGTGAATTGGGACTCTTCTAAAACTGAAACAGAATTCAGTAAAAAACCGGAGGATCTTCTGGTATCTTTTTATTTTAATTTCTCTATATTATGTTGCAACCTAGTTGATTTACATATGGTATTTTTAAGCCTTTTCTAGTCACCTGTTTCAATGTATGAAAACGAAAATGACCTAAATATAGTCTTTTCTGATCAGTATATTCTGTTTCTTTCTTTTCTATTTTGTGGTTGGGGGTGTACATAGGAGAATAATAATAAAAGGTTATTCCTGGTTTCTTCTCATCCGAAACATTTGGCTATAATATTTGTGAAATTTAAACGGAAATGGGAGCTAAACAATTCATGCTGCAATGCTGGTAGTGTTCTTTTAGGTAGTACATGGTAAGAGGGCTGCTTAATTTGCCGGGTGCTTGTTATGTTTCTATCTTCACTGACTACCACACTGCACACAACACACAAAATAAGACACTAGTCTTGTCTTTCATTCAAAAGGTTCATTGATGAAATCTCAAACAATGATATGCTGAGTATTTTAATTAATTATCAATGTTTTAACAAAAGTATTTTCATCTCCTTTTCGAAGATACTGAGTGTTCTGTTTGAGGACTGTTGTTCCCACAACTGAGGTTAAGGATTCGAGGTTTAGTACCTCCCTCCTTCACACTCCCCCTCATCAGGAAAAAAAAAATTATCGAAGCTTTCTACATCGTTTTTTTCTACATTTTCTCCTTGCTAATTTCATCTCCTTCAGGTCCTTGAGAAAATCAATTTACATCCCCATGTTTCCGTGTGCTTTTGTAGAATGGACCAAAGAAAATTGTTGCACTTCCTCGAGCATATTCAAGGCTGGATACTAGTGAAGACCAACCCAATCAAGAACATTCTACATTTTCCACAAATGCTAAACAAGGGGACCCGTGCTTTCAACCTTCCACTCCTTTTGTAGCTCCCAGTAGAATTGAACCATTAATCAAGGATCACAATGTGGAACCAATCACTGATACCAAGGACACAAATCCAGATGTGTTGTTAAAGGCTCGCACTGCCATTGCAGCAGCAGAGCGTGCATCAGCTGCTGCTCGTGCAGCCGCTCAGTTGGTAAATATCAACTTTAGCTCGTCGAAGGTAGAGAAACAGTAGATTTGGTTGAACTTATTTATATAGATTGAGCATGAAACATTGAATTCAGTTTTATCACTGAGCATTACAGCTTCAGAGTCAGTTTTATTATCAACAGGAAGGAGGTTATTGTGCTTAGGTTTCATGTTCTAGGAATGGTTGAGTTGGGTTTTAAGGATCAACTGCTGCTAAAACCCTAGTATTATATAGTATAAACATTAGAGATTAACCAGTGTTTACCTTCCGTAGGTTTATATGTATGTGCCACGGTTTTCCTCGAGTCGAGCTTTTGCAATTTGTTTTTTACATTTGAAAGGTGTGGAATCATTTGTAGTATGCTACGAGGGCATTTTGCTTCATCTTTTATCCTCTGATTCTACTACTACTTCTGTTTTAAAATAAAAGCACCGAATGTCAACATTCCTGATATTTCAAACAATTGATTTATCTTGTTCTCTTAAACCTTTTTCAATTACAGAATATATTGGCAAGTTCTGCATTTGACTGTACACCTATACTTGATTTACTTTTACCATTTTAGGTACTAAGTACTACAAAGGAATAGACAGTAGAATAAACATTATTTTATAGTTCTCTCTCGTTCAAATATTGTATAGTCTAGGTGTTTATTTGTTAGAGTACCAGATAAATACCAGAGTTCTAATAGCCGCATTTAGGCATGAGCTGCAGGTGAAACGCCACACCTTAACAATAAGCGCGAAATTAAGCATCAATTGTCATATTGATCACTAAATGCGCCATTAGACGTAGCTTTATTGATCTTTTAAATTTTTTTAATTTTTTTTCCCTTTTATTATAAACTTTTTATTTGACTTTAGTTTAAAGTTTTTTTTTTTGAAAATTGTAAAATTGACTAATTATAGGAATTATTAAGTAAATATAGTAATTTATAATTTTAGATATTCAGAATGAATTATTTTAATTATTAAATGATTTTTAAAATGATTAAAATTTTTAAATAATATTAAAAATAAGAAAATGTATTTTTACGTCTAAACTCGTAAAGTTTGAAGCTTGATCTCTATGAATAGTCACACTTTATGTTTTTTAGAATGCTAATAAATACACAAAAAATATACACAAAAAATAGAGAATTTGGACACAAAAATCGAGAAAACTCAAACCAAAATTTAAATGTGTTTCTTAAAATAACTAACATATATAATTATGAAAAGAAATTCTAAAATTACTATAATAACTAATAAAAAGACTCAAAAATATTTTGGTATATGATAATTTAAATGGCTTTTTTTTTTTTTTTCCCCTTGAAAAAGTAAAATTAACAAATCATTCAATTTCGACAGGATCTATCAATGTCCAAAATGGATCAATGTTTCCGTTGGGCCATGGAAAGTTCCCAAAACTCTGTAGTCACACTCTTAATGGGCTACTCACTCCTTTTCTCAACAAGCAAGATCAATTTTTCTAGTTAAGTTTGATATATCAAGCAAGAGGAACTCTTTAAAAACGGTCAATGCACAGCATTACAAAAGGTGATAAATTAAGGGTTCTTTGAATTTTTGCAAATACATAATTATCAAGGCAAAAGAGCTCTTGTACTGAGTTTCAAAGCCTAATGATAAGGTATCAATTACCAAATAAATGGGCGTTTGATGCACATTATTGAGAGAATAATGTATTTTAAATAGTGATGTGATAGAAAATATGTGGTTAAAAAATAAGGAAAATTTTTGAATGTAATGAAAAATATTATTTTGTTGAAAAATGCGTGATTGAAAATGATTTTGAAATAACGTAGATCAAATAGAGGCTAAGTTTAAGAATAATGTTATTCATCTCCACTGGTGACAATTACATGATATTAAATGATAAACTCAATTAAATGAGTCATGTGACTTTATATTTAAATGAATCTAAAACTTTGTAATTGCCACATAGATTGGGACTCAACCCCAGTGGGGATGAATATTATTACTTTAACTTTAATATCTTCCATGTTTGATGCAGCGGAATTACTAATGAACGCATTGAAAAATAATGATTCTCAGAATCTTTCTAAATTTAAAATATTAAGAATTTGTTGATTTACGAATAATATCAAAGTACTGAAATGAAACAAAAGAAAATATCAAATTTTATTTATTTATTTATTTTTTGTTTCATTTACAAAACCTTCCCAACACTAGTTAAGTACTTCAGTTGTTTCATAAAGACTCAATGCAACTTATCACAAGGTGTTACAACCACAAGATCACAAAAACTTAAAACATACAAAATAGAACACTTGATATTATAAAATAGATATGTTACAAGGTCTGAAACTAGTTAGATTGTTAGATTTATATGTTATATTGACGATTCTGTGAACAAAAGGACCAACTTGGACAATTATAAAAGTTTAGGGACTGAATTGTAAAGTTTTATAGTTGGTATGTTAGCTTAGGGTTCGGAGTTTCATGTTTGGAACAAGAAAGAAAGATTCACGTCGATTTTTCACTAGCTACTCGCTGAAGTGATGCTCGAATGGATGAAACAGAGATACCATCGCTCGACCTTCACCCACATGTCGCTCGAGTGACGATGTTTTTGGGCTAAACCTAATTTCGATTTTCGAGACTTTTTCTTTGTTCATTCAACCTAATTCGTCCAACATATAAATAGAGGCGCTGTGTTTTCTGCTAATAAGAAATTGAACACATTCTATTCAAGAGAGAATTCATCCTACACAAGATCAAAAGTTCAATCCTTCAATTCATATGCGCTCTACTCATTGAAAACATCAAAGCCATCAAATCAAACACTGAATTAGATTCTTCGCTTGGGTCTACTGCAAGATTGTTTCGTCAACTTGGTTGCGTAGAAGATCAAGGAAGAATTTGAAGAACGATAAGTTCTTGGAAAAGATCTATAGGAGATAAACTGTGTAAAGAGTCATGATTGGAGTTCGTGTGCTCATTCCAGGAGGACTGCTTCACTAAGAAGAGTCAGGATTGGTGTTGGTTTGCACATTCCAAGAGGGCTGCTTCAAACTTCAGACAGGAGATCAGAAAGCTTATGTCGTCAACTTTGCGGTAGTCTGTAAGTTTTGTCAACAGTTTATAGTGGATATTTGGCTAGCAAACTGTCCGGAGTTTTTCCTGCGTTGGGTTTCTCCGTGAACAATTTTGGGATTGTTTACTACTTTATTTATTGTTTT